GGTCTGTCTGCTCCAGAACAAATGCTCTGTCCTTGACACCAACAGAAGCAGCAGCATCTCCTGCCACCTGTCAGCAAACTGCTGCCAGAGTGTAATTTTACCGGATATTGTGAGAGGAAGCCTGAGTGAAATAAGGCCCTGGTGGAATCGGCGGCCAGCGGCGCCTTTTCTTACCTGTTAATGAAGCCTCATTAGAAACAGCAAGAAACCTTGCTGAGAACTGGAAGCACCAGTCTGCCTTGGCTCTCCCTGCCAAACGATGATTAACTTAATGATTTATGGCAGCTGCTCTTTGAGATTAGGGAGCCGAGGAGATGGAAAGTGTGCAGCCCCACACAGCATGCTGTCTGGTAGAAGCTCAGTGGGGTGTGCACATCCATCCTCCCCTTTGTCCAATAGCTGAAACTGCTCCCAGGTTCTGGAAAACGCATGGCCATTCAGACACAGAATTAACCTCCTTTTGATGGCTGACCTCTCGGGGCCCTCCAGCTGTGTGTAGGTTAGGGATTTAGGTCTTGGCTTGAGGGGGAGCGGTGGGTAGAAAACTAATTGTAACAAGAAAGAAAGATAAGAAACAGACCTCGGTGTGCAGTGCATCTGACACAGCTAGGCCGGGGCACACTCTCTTCTAGGGGGATGTCTTGATCCCAGTGCTTTAATTGTGGGCACCCCTGGAGCGTGCAGCTGGGGAGGGGATCGGTGCTTTGTTGAAATGTAGCATTAGGTGGTGCCTTGACTGTTTGTGCCTCAAACAGCAAACAGAATTATGTAAAGGTGTCGTGCAAACTGTAAACAGCTGTCCTGTCCACATGACTTATGAATGCAATTCCTTTGATCCTAGGAGCCAAAAGGAAAACCAGTTTTCGGCCAGGAGACTCCACTTCTTGCCTTGCTTTTCTTCTAAGTTTTCTTAAGGGTAAAGAAGGTTCCTTTTGTTTATGTCAGCTTTGGCTATTTGGAACCCCAGGGCTAGTGGGGGGAGGGTGTCTTGGAATATGCCCATTTTGGACACTTCCCCCTGGCTGGATTAGCCACTTAGGAGAACAGACTCAGCTTGGATATTTTGGTCTGTAATTCTGTGTGGCAGGTGGACTGACAGAAGCGTGGGGGGAGGAGAATTAAGAAATTAAGGCTGGGCTTTGTGTGTGTGGTTTTGGAGACACTGTGAACCCGTGGTAGGACACAGGTGGTGGTTTCGGTTTTAATCAGAAGGCAGGGGACTCTTGCCTGGGTAGCGGGCAGATTCACGAACCATATTTGGCGGGGCTGGGTCCTGAGAAGCCTGGGGGAAGGATCCCGGAAGAAAATTCTGAGGCTGCAAGTGGGGTAGGCAACCACAACCTAATTAGTGCCCTCCCCCGCCAAGACTTAAATTGAAGCACCCTTTCAACCGATTGAGAGATACTCTGGCAATCACAGTGGGATGTGTGTGTCTGCACGTGGGGCCCGTGCAGAGTTCATTAAAGAGATCTGAATGCTCTGTGATGCCTGTGATCATGATACGTTTGATAAAGTACCATGCCAATCCCCTCTCTGGCAGAGTGTTATTTTTGCCCCAAATTGGGTCTAGCCGGCATGCCATAAGCACAAGTTTTGCCTAAGCAGTGCATTTATGTCCGTAAACTCAAGAGCGGCTGGCCCATGGGTGATGAGGCGGGTGATAAGGCAGGTGACGAGGCAGATGGCGTCACGCTCAAGGAGGCTTGCAGAAGCCATTAAGAATGGCTCCATGAAGGAGGGAACTTGTGGGGATGAGCACTGGGTGTTATATGGAAACTAACTTGACAATAAGCTATTAAAAAAAAATGGCTCCATGAGCAGAGGCCAGGCAGGTAAAGTGATATCCATTTTCACCTGACAGTGAGTTGAGTGAAGTGGGCAGACTGGAAGCCACACACAAAGCATTTATTTGGAGAGGTACAAGGGAGGTTGATCAAGCTACAGACTATTTAAATTAAAGCAGAAGGACCCTCTCTGTTTCCAGGATGCTTTTCAAATTAAGCCTAATCAACCAGGGAATCCAGCTCGGAAGGTGGGGCGGTGGTGGGGGTCTATGAGGGGGTGAAGGAACTCCTCTAGGAATTTCACCGTCTCTTGGTGAGGGAGGAAGCATTTCCTTTATGAAAAGAGGAAGTTTCTTCATTAGCTGAAACAAACAAGAAATACATACATGTGAGAGAAGTCACAGATGATTAAAATTGGTAAAGCTATCACAAGAGGAGTATGGGACAGGCAGGTGTCTCATGGAAATAATTTGGCTTTTGGAACAAGGCAGTTTGGGTTTCCACCCCCGTCCCATGATTATTAGATATGTGACCTTGGGCAAAGGACTTAAGCTCTCTGAGGCTTTGTTTCCTGTCTATAAAATGGGGAGAATGATGTCATACTGGCAGAGTTTTGGGGAGAAATGAAGATTAAGAGCTTACGAGTGTCCTGGCATATAGCAGGTACTCATGAAATGAGTTCTTATGTTCCCGAAATACATTCAGCCTCACTCATTACTTTCTGTATATGTTTAAGACAAGTTTATGTATTTATTCAGATGTTCATGGGCATTTGAAAAAAATTAGCTTTGTTAGGAGAACATAGCTTTTATAATCAATAGAAACCAATCCAGTAAAAAGGCAGCTGGAAAGGAGCTGGATGACATATTTTCCTTTTGAAAGGAGATAAGATTAGGTTGTTTCTATGCAGATCTCTCGCCTTCAGAAGAAAAATGTTATACAGTACATTGGAGAAGCCAGGAGACCTGGGCTCCAGTCTAGCTCTGCCTCTACCTTCCCGTGTGATTGAGGATCATTTTCTGATCATTTCTGATCATTTTCTCCTCCAGGCTCTAGTATTCTCTCTGAAGTTGAGAGGTTGGACTATAGAATCCCTAAGCTGTCTCAGAGCTGATACTCTATTCATTATTCAACATATGTCTTGGAAGGGACTTTGGAGGGAAATATGAAGATAGAGAATTATGATAAAATAAAGGATTGGATTTCCTTAAAGAGCTGACAAGGAAGCTGAGCCCCAAGACTTATGATTATGCTCCTAGACTCCTTACCCATTAAAAAAAATAACTGCAGGGGCGCCTGAGTGGCTCAAGTCTGGGTGGCTCAAGTCTGTCTGACTCTCAATTTCAGCTCAGGTCATGATCTCAGGGTATGTGAAATTGAGCCCTGAGTGGGACTCTAAACTGACACTGTGGCTCCTGCTTGGGATTCTCTCTCTCCCTCTCCCTCCCCCACTTGCACTCTCTCTCTCTCAATATAAATAAACATTAAAAAAAAAAAAGACTGCATATATACACGTGTGTGTGCATACACATACATACACAGATGCATATACGCTATTCCTACCCCTTGCCTCTCTCCATTATGGAGGCTGGAAAAGCTCAGTCATTGCTTTCCCAGCATCCCTTGCAGGTAGGAATGGTCATGTGAGCAGATTATGATCAATGAAATATAAGGAAAATCCATTGGAGGGCTTCTCAAAATGCTTTTCCTTCACTGATGAAAGAAGAGAATCACACATGGGAAAGCTCTTTTGCTGTTTCCCCCTCCCTCCCCTTCGTACCATGAATGTTTGGAGGTGTGGCAGGCATTTGGCAACCCTGGGTGGTAAAACGAAGACAGAAAGCCAATATATTGGGGATGATATGTCAGAAAGACAAAAGAGCTTGGGACCTTAATGAAACCATTGAGTAGTCTACACCACCTAATTTCTGGAACTCTTAGACAAATGTGGTTTAGGCCCTTGCCACTCAAACTGTGGTTTCTGGGCCAGCAATTATGGGCACCACCGGGGAGTTTTGTTAGACGTGAAGACTCTCTGGCCTTACCCCAGACCTAGTAAAGCAGTGTGCATTAAAAAAAAAAAATCCCCAGGTTGTTCTCTGTATTTAAGAAGCTGGGTTTTTTTGGCCTCTTTTTATATTTGTTCATTTGCTTTTGTTCTTAAATTCTACGTATGAGTGAAAAAACAGTCTTAGATACAGAGAACAAACTGGTGGTTGCCAGAGGGGAGGTGGGTGGGGGATGGGAGAAATAGGTGATAGGGATTAAGATTATCTTGATGAGGGGGCGCCTGGGTGGCTTAGTCGGTTAAGCGTACAACTTTCGCTTAGGTCACGATCTCACGGTTCGTGGGTTCGAGCCCCGCGTCAGGCTCTGTGCTGCCAGCTCAGAGCCTGGAGCCTGTTTCAGTCTGTGACTCCCTCTCTCTCTGACCCTCCCCTGCTCACGCGCGCTCTCTCTCTCTCTCCTAGAAATAAATAATAAAAAAAAAATAAAAAAAAATTATCTTGATGAGGACTGAGTAATGTACAGAATTGTTGAATCCTTATATTGTACACCTGAAACTAACCTAACACTGTATGTTAATTATACTTCAATAAAAAATGATAAAAGATGCCCAGGTTTTGGTGTTTTAAGTGCACAATTAAGTTTCAGGAGCATTGATCTGTGGCCCCATTAATGAGGGTCTATTACATGCAGCTGAAACATCATGTGTTGTACTCGGTATGTGTGAACATATAGAGGTGTGTGTGTGTGTGTGTGTGTAACTGCATATATGAATACACGAACAGAAAAAAATCCTTCAGGGACATAGGCTGTGGGAGTGGGTGTGTATGTGTTGGGAGTTTGACGATGATTTCTCTTTTTTTTTTACCTTAGTTACTTTTTTCTTTTTTAATTTTTTTCAGTGCTTATTTATTTTTGAGAGAGAGAGAGAGAGAGAGAGAGCCAGAGGGTGAGTGGGGGAGGGGCAGAGAGAGAGGGAGACACAGAAGCCAAAGCAGGTTCCAGGCTCTGAGCTGTCAGCACAGAGCCCAAGGCGGGGCTCGAACTCACCAACCATGAGATCATGCCCTGAGCCTAAGTCCCACGCTCAACAGACTGCGCCACCCAGGCGCCCCTTAGCTACGTTACTTCTCTAGTGTTGGAGACACCTTCCATTTCAAACCCGCGGCATGGTTTTCTGTCCCGCAGGGGGATCGGGAGGCGGAGGGCTCACCCGCTCTCCTCCCTGTCCAGCAGGGCGTGATAGGACTCCACGTCCCTCTGCAGCTGGGCTTTGTGCGCCAGCAGATGCTCGCGGGCCTGCTGCTGCTGCTCCGCCTCCGAGCGCGTCTCCCTGAGCTCCGCCTCCAGCCTGCTCACCACGGCGCCCAGGTTCTGCAGCTCGATGTCGTGCCAGTGCTTGGCGTCGTGCAACGTGTTCTCCAGGCCTCGTTTCTGCCAAAGAGAGAACGCGGTCCGAACCCGGGCCGCAGGCAGGGCCCCTGGCGAGGGAGCCGGGCGGGGCTGTGGGAGGGGCTGGAATGGGCCCCGGCTGTCCATTTCTCTCAGGACAAATGGCCTCGCTGGCTCCCCGGGGAAATGATGACCCCTCCGCGGGAGGCCAGACTCTCGTTTGGTCTGATTCACGGAGCCTTCTGATGGGGGGAGGGGGAGGAAGAAAGAGAAGAGGGGAAGGAGAGGGAGAAAGATGAGGTACCGTGATGAGAGAGAATGAGAGTAAGGAGAATAACGAGTGGAAAAAAACAAAACAAAACAAAACAAAACAAAACAAAACAACACAACTGAGTAAGAAATTGACACACAGGCACACAAGGGGGAGGCAGTTTGCAGGTGGTTTTCAAAGAAATCTTGCTCTCTGAACTGCCCCTGGGCCTTTCTGCCCTGATTTCTCACTCCCTGGGCGGGGGCGGGGGGGGGGCGCTTTCCCCCTCCGCTGCTGAAACCCCATCCATCATTAAGCTAAACGCCTTCACCTCCCGCACTCTTGCCCACGTTGCCAGAGCTAGTGTGAGGGTCTCTGGCCTTTACACACTCAGCATTTTTTCTTTGGTGTGTTAGTATCACACCTTGGCTAAGTCCTCTTCCCCTTGCTGTCCCTTGTCTGTGGGCACCACACCGCCCTATCCTGAGCCTGTTTCTCTCTGAGCTGTGCTTCCTATGTGTGTGTTGGTTGGTCTCTGCCACACTCATGATTTCAGTTGTCTGTCTTGCCATGGCTCCTGCATTGATATTTCCAGTATAGACCTCTCCCCCGAGCCTACACCTGCTACTGAACTTCTTCCCGTAAACATATACAATCCATGGACACCTCAAATCAAGGTGTCCAAAATGGAGCCACTGGCTTCCTTCTGAACCTGTTTGCCACTCCTATTCTTTTTTTTTTTTTTTAACGTTTTATTTATTTCTGAGAGAGAGACAGTGTGAGCAGGGGAGGGTCAGAGAGAGAGGGAGGTACAGAATCTGAAACAGGCTCCAGGCTCTGAGCTGGCAGTCAGCACAGAGCCCGACGCGGGGCTCGAACCCACAAACTGTGAGATCATGACCTGAGCCAAAGCCAGACGCTTAACTGACTGAGCCACCCAGGTGACCCTTGCCACTCCTATTCTGCACTTCAGCTGATGAACTCACATGAACTAGAAATCAGGGAAAGAAAGGCATGTCCCTAATTCTCCTTCCCTCCCCAGTTCAAGCATCAGTGAATCCTACCTCTTGTATATTCTAAAAAGTTTTCATATTCGCCCTCTCTCCGCTCCAGCCACGGGTGCCCCGGATGGATACTTTCATTGCTCCCCTGGGGTAACCTCAGCAGCCTGCAGCTCGTCTCTTGGTCTCTGGCTTCTCCTGCTCTTGCATTCCCCACAGAGCAGCCACAGTGCTGTCTGAAGTCCAAATCTGGGTTTGTATCTCCTCTTCCTTCTCACCTGGATCATTCCTACTCATCCCCAAGTCCAAGCTCAGGGGTCACCTCCCCCAGGAAGACTTCCTTGATAGTCTCTTGCCCCATCTCCCACCAGGCTGGGTTGGGGGCACCTCCTCTGGGTTCCACAGCTGGCCAACTACATGCATGCCCTTAAACTTGTAATAGTGGGCTGAGTTTCTTAGGGGCGTGTCTCCTCTACTGGACAGTGAGCTCTTGAGAGCAGAAATGAAATTTCTGTAACCCAGTGATAAGACAGGGGCAGGCACAAAGTAGGTGCTCATCTGGGTGTGTTGTCCAGGATGATAGCACAATGGTTACACTACTTGCCCTTCCTGTCTTGCCATTAGACTAAACCTCATCTTCCCATATACTAAGTGTTGCAGACTGCAGGGCTGACCAATAAACACCTTTAAAAAACTGTGTGCATCAGTCTTTAACATTTTTTCATAGTTGTCATTATGGTGCACCTATAATTTAGCATCTGGCTTTTTATACAACACATGAGAACAGATAAATATTTTCCCAAGTTGGATTGAATGAAATCTTGATGAAGCAACTTTCTGTGTCCTGCCCCCCCACGGAAAAGATTTTTCATTCCTTTTTGAAGACTGTGGTTGAAATGGAAGATTGTTGGCCGTGATGCCATCTTGAGTCATGGCTCCTGTTAAGCAGCCATGCTTAACCATTATCATATTTAAACTGTCTTAATTCCATAGGAAATGAGGATATTGAATCCGATTCCCATCCTAGGTACATTTACAGGTGACAAAAATGTGGCTAACAGAAAATAAATCTAGATCGGTATCTGGTCTAGGGTTATTATTTTGGTGAGATCTGAGAACCCCTCTATGGCAATGAGGATGCAGAAATGGCCACCTGCATGTTGAGAATCACTTGCTCTGCTCTGGGATTTCTCCCTTTGTTTATCAGGAAATTGCTTGGTTTGTAGTGTTTATTGTTGATGTTGGACCTGTAACACCTGTTATTTGGAAAAACCTTTCATGGAATCGTGTTTGGATCATCTGTCTACAGTTTTTGCTCCATGTTCACAGATGACTTCTCCATGTGGTCTGGGGCTTTCTCTGATGACTTAGGACCCATTGCCCAAGGTGGGTTCATAGGAACACCTATCAGAGGTCCTCTGTCTCTTCCATCCCACCCTTGGAGTCCAGCTCAGCTTCCTGACCTAAGTCCCTGACATCCTGGCCTGGTCCTCACAGAGACACTTGGGCTTGGGTGATGGCAATCAGGTCACTGCTACACATCTCCTAGCTCTAGCTCCCTTGGCCACACAACACCAGCAAGCAAAATTAGGTCACAGAGCACACTTATCCCCGGTCTCAAGATTTGCAGGGACTTCCTTGAGCTGCTAAGCCCTCCAGAAAGTAAAAGAGTGACCTTATGTGATTTCTGGCCTTGAATCTCATTCCTGATTTGAGTTGACTGAACACAGAGCTCAGTAAGCTTTAAGCACCATTATTTGTGTCTAGCTGCCAATATAAATAGTGCCTTGTTGGCAAAGGGGACTGGAAGTGTCACCAGCTTGGCTGTCTGAGACCTGCATGAGCCATGGGGGCCTTGTGTGTGCAGGTTACACTGACTGAGGATAACAGGAATGGCTGCATGAGTGGGCTGTACCTGAAAACTGCAGGAAAGTGTGCTACTTATTCTGGCTTCGTCCGTGCTCCTAACCTTGGCCACAAGGCCCAGTGACCAGAACTCTGATCTACTGGAAGCAGCAGGGGACAGAGGCAGCCTGTCCTGGGTCCCAAGCACCACCAGCATTAAATTACTCTTAAGACTTCTGGTTGGGGGTGTGAATTTTCTACCCACTTGTTCCAATAGTTAGGACCATAGGGTCTAAGTGAGGTGATCGGATGATGCCAACTTGGGATTACTATGCCAGTGGTTATAATAATAATTTTACAATGATACTCAACAACAGATATCATGTATTGACTGCTAACTCTGTGTCAGCCACTGTGCTAAGGGCTTGGCTTGCACTGTTTAATTAATCATCCCAATGACTTTATAAAGTAAATTCCGTTAGGTCCAGTAGTAGATCACATTTCTAAAGACAGTTGTAATCATTATCTCCATCCCACATGTCCTTTCTCTGTGTGATCTTGCCACTGTCTCACCAAAAGGGTGATGTTTATTTCTCTTCTTGTGGGATCTGGGATGGTCTGTGCCTGCTTAGACCAACAGGACCATCCGTTTCCTGTTTGCATCCCTGAGATCTGCCTCAGAGGGCTTAGCACACATGAGGCAGCCAATATACATGTGGAATGCATGCTGAGTGATGGGCCACCTCTACTCCGGTGCGATTCATCCAGGATTTTTTGATGTGTGGGGTTGAGTGTATGTCCTCCGCATTTTACCTGGCACTTTCTATCACTGGAAGAGTGGCAATTGTGGGAGCCACAAGAACACGTGGGGAACAGATGGCAGTCCCTTAACTGTGCTTAAAGCAACTTGGGCAAAGGGCAGCACCCCTGATATTGGATCAAAGGGTCATGGCAGGTGAGTAAAACTGATTATAGTAAAATTCACATAGTTCTGAGTAATGCGATGTCTTTCAATTTTTTAGCTAAAGTCACATTGCTTTAGGCTGTAGTTTCCTGATTTTTCTCACTTCAAATCCTTTTCTCACATCCCCTTGCGCTGACCCAGATCCCATCACAGGACGTGTGGGAGAGCAGAAGAGTGATGAGATGTGTGTCGTGTTGTGCTGCGGCGTGGCAAGACTGAGCGTCTTCCTGAGCTGACGGGGCATAATGAGACCTTGTTGGCCAGAGGACAAGGTGCTCAAGTGAACTGAAGACATGTGAAGGAGGGGAGGTGGGGGTGATGGAATTATCTTGGCCACAGGAAGTGAAAAAGTTGTTGCTGAGGGAAACAACTAGAATAAATCCTTGTGCTAACTTTTTGGTAGCTATGACTCCATCCGGAGGTGGGGCTGCTAGTTTGGTGTTGGAATGGATTTGGGTGGCAAGATTGAGATGAGGGTGTGTGGGGAGTGGTAGAAGAGGGGGCACTAGCAATAGTATTGGAACTGCCCCAGGCTTGAAACTGATGGGAGAGACGGGCTCCTTGGGCCTCAGTGGAGTCCAGACCACCACAGCTGCGCAAGGATTACATGAACCATCCCTTTCATGCACTCTGGTGTGGAAAACTCACTTGTGGATCAAATCAGCATACACGACCCTAGAGGGGGCATCGAGGAGGAGCTGTGTGCTTGGCACCCTAATAGAACTTCAGTTAACCCCAGAGATTAGAGGGTGGATTGCTGTATTATTAATAATTATTTCAATTAATAAATAACAATAATGATAATAATAATAAATAATGCAAGAGATCTTTCTACAAACCCCAGTGAGTCTGAGGACCTTATCAGGTGTCTTCGGTTGGAAGCAGAGCCTGAGGCAGGGATCCTGGTACATGTAAATAATTAGGGGGTTGCTCTCAAGAAAAGGGGGAGGGCAAGGAAAGTGGTATAGAGCAGAGGAAGGTGCTAGGCCAGGAGGTAGTCTCAGCAGGAGACTGGGACAGCCTGATCCCACACAGAGCTGGGAGTGTGAATTATACTGTAAAACCTACTCCGCTGGGAAGGGAGTGGGCTGGACCTTTAAGCCCCATGCCAGCTAGTCATTGGCTGAGGGCCAGTGGGGGAAGGAGGGCGAGCCTACTTCTAGGCCAGGTGTCTACTATTTGGCTGAGGACAAGTCGCTGGAGAAGTGGACCCCCGAAAAGGGACGTCTGTAGGTATTAGTGGTAGAGTATTTTGGTGGGGCACTAATAGCATCCACTATACTTGTGATTCTGTATCAGATGACCCTTTCAGGCCCCAAAAACTCATGTTGTGAGATGTGAATCTCTTGCAAACTCTGACCCACGTGACTCCAGTTCAACAGTTGAGAGTTAAAACTGATATAAGAAATGCCAGACTTTATCCAGCCCACTCACCAGGGCCCGCAAGGATTCCGTTTCAGCCTGGAGGCTCTGGACCTGGCACGAAGTGTTGTGCAGCTCCAGCCTGAGGGCAGCGGCCAGCTTCTCTTCCTGGGTCTGTGCCATGCGGGCCATCTCCGCCTGTTGCTGTGGAGGGTAACATCTCCGCGTGAGCAGGGGTGCATGGAGAGCTCCAACCTCTCCTTCCATCTCACCCTTCCCAGTGACCGCTCCACTGCATCTCACTTACAGCAAACAGCTGGCAGATTGAAATAGCCTCCTTTTCCCACAGGTGCCCCCACCGATTCACATACAAGAATGTACTTAGTTTGAACATACAATGCATGCAAATAGAATAAAATTCAAAAGATTTTTCTGAAAGATTTATAGGAGAAAGTCCTCTTTTGTCCCTATGCTCTAATTTCCTAGTTCTCTTGTTTCCAGTTTCATATACCTCTTTCCAGAAATACTCCATATAAGTAAATAATGTGTGATCATCCCCTGTCTCCTTGCTTTGGTACTTGATATATCTTAGAAAATATTTCTACTAGTATATATAGATCAATTTCATTCTTTAAAATTTTATTTTGATGTTTATTTATTTTAGAGAGAGAAAGCATGAGTGGGGAAGGGGCAGAGAGAGAGACACAGAATCTGAAGCAGGCTCTGAGCTGTCAGCGCAGAGCCTGACGCAAGGCTATGAACTTATGAACTCATGAGCCATGAGATCATGACCTGAGCAGAGGTCAGATGCTTAACCAACTGAGCCACCCAGGCACCCCTCAATTATGTTCTTTTAAATGGCTCCATAGTATCACCTTGTTTGGAAGTACCATAATTATTTAGAAGCCCTGCACTGATGAGCACTTTGTTGCCAATGTTGGCCTGTTATAAAAAATGGTGTAAAGAATAATCTTATAACCCTCATTTTCCACGCATGGGAGTATCCCTGGGGGCTAAATCCCTGCAATGGAACTGCTGAGTCAAAGTGTATGTATTTATCATTTTGACGAATGTTGCCAAAATTGCCCTTCAGAGAACTAACTCTTTCCAGTACTGTAAGGCAGTGCCAACTACTCTACATCTTCAAATGAAGAGCTCTCCAACTTATCCGATAGTCCCTGTTTCCTTGTAAAAACCAGTGTGGCCATAATTGTGAACACAAAGGGAAGGTCTGCATTTCACAATTTCTCCTGAGTGAAATGGACATAGTCTGGTTCTTCCCCCACACTTTGAGTGGAGGAGGTCATTGCTCCTCTTTTCCTTGTGCTAGAGAATGGGGAAAACTAGAGATCACCTTCATTCATCTTTGGTGCAGTCTAAGGGATATCTCTCGAGTCAGTGATATGGGAGAAAACAGCTGTTTTCTCTTCTAGGTTACTGGCTGGCTGGCTTGGCCATTTTTACTACACATGAATACTTATTTATAGGATTATGCAAAAATAATCCAATCTGACTAAGAACAACCAGGTCAAAGGGCTTACATCTCAGGAGTAAGTTCTTCCTGTGTGAGGCCTATAAAGACCTCAGCAAAAACACCCAGTAAATAAAGGTATGGAATTGGCCACCTGGGCGGCTCGGTTAAGCATTGGACTCTGGATTTCAGCTCAGGTCATGATCTCACAGTTCGTGGGTTTGTGCCCTGCATTGGGCTCTGTGCTGACGGCATGGAGCCTGCTTGGGAATCCCTCTTTCCCTCTCTCTCTTGGTCCCTCCTCTGCTCATGTTTTTTTTCTCTCTCTCTCAAAATAAATAAACATTAAATTAAAAAAAAAAAAGGTCTGGGATTGGCTGAAGGAGAATGGAAGCTGTGGGCCCAGCTCGGACTGGTCAGTGCCCAGCTCGGACTGGTCAGTGCATGGCTGTGTGTTCCTTGACTGTCATTCACTCTCTCTGAGCCCCAGTCCCTGCCCACAGAATGCAGATGGCAGTGAGTGGAGAATAATAATCATATGATGACTGTCCTCAGGGGTCATCATGAGGCTTCCATCAGGTTACGAATGTGGAAACTTTTAGAACCTTAAAAGCATGCAAATAGTGACTGCATATATTCTCTAAATGTAAAAGGTACTATAACCAATAAATAGGTTTGTGAAAGCTATTGTGGGTTGGATACTACTAATGATAACTCACAGGTGTTAAGCACTTATCTGTGACAAGTGCTCCATTAACATGGTTAAGTCCATTATTTCATTTAATTTTCACGACCCTATGAAGCAAGTGTCATTGTTATTCCTATTTTACATGAGGAAACTGAGGCACAGAGAGACTGGGCTATTTACTTAAGATTGTACGTCCTCTGAGGGCAAAGCCTGTGCAACAGGAGACGCCAAAGCCCTGCTCTTAACCTGTACTGACGGCTGCTGCTTCCGCCAACCAGCAAGCCCCCTGAAGGGGGAGTTGTCTTCCCCAAAGTGAAGGTGGACCACTCTAAAATGTCTTTGTGCTCTGCCAAGCCCTCCAGTGATGGGGCGCCCTATCTTTCTCCTTCTCTCTGGGGTTGGGACTTGGTTGAGTGGGTGGCCGTGGGAGGGTGGCTTCTGGCAGACAAACGGAGCCAGGAGGTGCAGAGTGGCCAGGGGCAGCGGGGAGCTGAGGCCGGCTCAGGGCCACTCACAGGAGCTGCTGTTAAATTCTCAGGATGTTTGTAAGCTGGTTGGTAAATATAGCCATCATTAAAAATTAAATTGTATCAACTTACACTTAATTAAGTTATATTAAAATGGTAACCAATACTCCAAACGCATCACTTGCTAATTTATTTACATTTTATCATTATCTGTGCTATCCATGTTCTTTATATTGACGGTACCTGTGTGGTGGGAATAACATTTAATGGGCTTCTGAGCATGTCTTTCAAACTCTGTGCTCATTTACATCAAGTTAGGAGTTTGAAATCAGCCGTGGGGAGAGTATGTACCTCATGGAAATTGGCAAACACCACAAATCAGGGATTGAATTATTGTTTTGCTGACTGTCTAGACCTAAGAAAGGGATGCAGAAAATGTTAATAATGCATATTAAACTTAAAATTGGGTCATGTATGTAGCTGTTGCATCAAGAATAGCAAAAACAGGGGTGCCTGGGTGGCTCAGTCAGTTAATCATCCGACTTCAGCTCAGGTCAAGATCTCATGTTCATAGGCTGGAACCCCACATTGGGCTCTGCTGACAGTTCAGAGCCTGGAGCCTACTTAGGATTCTATGTCTCCCTCTCTCTTTGCCTCTCCTCCACTCACACTCTGTCTTTGTCTCTCTCAAAAATAAATAAACATTAAAAAAAGGAATAGCAAAAACATTAGAAGGAATAGTTTCCTGATATTTACAAACTATTATCTGATTTGCAAAGAAGTTACTCATATCATTGATGAAAGGACTTATTATGGTAATGGAAATATCAACCCAAAATTCATATGAGAGCTATCCTCATTTATCATTGAGTGACTTTTTGCTTAATTGGATATTAATAATCAAGCATACTTTGTTATCTGATTTGGTGACATTTAATTATAAAAAATGGTTGGCAGATTTTGCCAGAAATAGCAAGTCACAATGAAGGTATAGGTGCAAATGGAAAAGCAGAGTGAGTATTTTATCTTAAAATTTATGTTATCTCTTACCACCTCACACCTGTCAGAATGGCTAACATTAACAACTCAGGCAACAACAGATGTTGGTGAGGATGCGGAGAAAGAGGAACAGTTTTGCACTGCTGGTGGGAATGCAAACTGGCGCAGCCACTCTAGAAAACGGTATGGAGTTTCCTCAAAAAGTTAAAAATAGAACTACCCTCTGATCCAGCAACTGCACTACTAGGTATTTATCCAAAGGATACAAAAAGCAAGTCACAAAAAGCAAGCTGATTTTAAGGGGCACGTGCACCCCAATGTTTATGGCAGCATTATTGACAACAGCCAAAGTATGGAAAGAGCCCAAGTGTCCATTGACTGATGAATGATAAAAAAGATGTGCAACAACGTGGATGGAACTAGAGAGTATTATGCTAAGGGAAATAAGTCGGAGAAAGATAAATAGCATATAATTTCACTCATATGTGGAACTGAAGAAACAAAACAGGTGAACACAGGGGAAGGGAAGGAAAAATAAGATTAAAAAAAAAAAACAACAGAGAGGGAAGCAAACCATAAGAGATTCTTGAATACAGAGAACAAACTGAGGTTGCTGGTGGGGTGCTGGGTGGGAGGGATGGGCTAAATGGGTGATGGGCATTAAGGAGGGCACTTGTTGGGATGAGCACAGGGGGTTATATGTAAGTGATGAATCACTAAATTTTACTCCTGAAATCATTATTACACTATATGTTAACTAACTTGGATTTAAATTTAAAAAAATTTGTTATCTCTAATAACATAATTGTATAAATTTCTAATTGTTTATACGATTTCTAATTGTATAAAGAAAACAACAGAAACTTCTCTGTTACCTTTTTAGTGGTACTGTGAAGTCTGACAAGCACCTAAATACACATGCTTATATCTACCAGCTCCAGAGAGCAGGTGTGAAACGTGACCAGCACCCCCTGGGTGACAAGTGGGCATGAGGAGAAGTCAAGTCCTTTGGAGGGTAAGTTTCAAAGCCTAGGTGGCTGGGTCTGGGGTGAACATGCAGGCCCAGGCTCTCGCAGTCCCCCATATGATTTGCCCCCCTTGCAAACCAGACAGTGAGTGGTTTGTATTCAAAGTTTCACGCTGGTCTCTGAGGGGAAAATGCTTTTTCTGAGTGTTTCCACAAACAGCGTGGTTTTGCACATATCAGAATACTGATTGAAACAATTTTTATTTAAACCAATTCACTTTTTCTTTATAAAGAAATGTGTTTAAATGGAAACTGTAGAAAAGTTCTCAAATTTGGTGCACATCAGGATCGTCTAGGAGGGCTTGTGAAATTGTAGATTCTGATTCAGGAGAGCTGAGTGGGCCTAAGAATCTGCATTTAAAACTCCCATGTGATTTTGACTTAGGTCATGATTTCACAGCGCGTGGGAGCCCCAAGTGCTCCTCTCTCAAAATAAATTAAGTTAAAAAAAAAAAAACCTCCCATGTGATTCCCGGTTCATGGAAGCAAAGTTCTAGATTGCTGCAGAAACCAGTAAAGCTCTGTCACTTGTCATAGACAAAAGATAGTTGA